TGGAAAACGGTATGGAGATTTCTCAAAAAGTTAAAAATAGAAATACCCTATGACCCAGCCATCCCACTACTGGGTATCTATCCTAAGAACCTGAAATCAGAAATCTCAAGAGTCCCATGCACCCCTATGTTCATCGCAGCATTATTTACAATAGCCAAGACGTGGAACCAACCTACATGCCCAGAAACTGATGATTGGATAAAGAAGATATGGTATATATACACAATGGAATACTACTCAGCCATAAAAAAAGACAAAATCGGCCCATTCGCAGCAACGTGGATGGACCTCGAGGGTATTATGTTAAGCGAAATAAGCCAGTCAGAGAAAGACGAGCTCTATATGACTCCACTCATAGGTGGAAGTTAGTATATTGACAAGGAGATCTGATCGGTGGTTACCAGGGAAAAGGGGGGGGGGGAGGGCACAAAGGGGGAAGTGGTGTACCCACAACATGACTAACAAAAATGTACAACTGAAATCTCACAAGGTTGTAATCTATCATAACATTAATAAAAAAAAAAACTAGACTAATACGTTTGGGAAATACAAACTCTCTCCTTCTGGAAGAGTCACAATTCATATCAGCTTATTAAAAGTTTCAAGAAATTGTGCCTTAAAGAATCAGTTTTGTCAGGACCGGCCCTGTGGCCAAGTGGTTAAGTTTGCACACTCCACTTGGTGGCCCAGGGTTTGCTGGCTCCGATCCTGGGCGCAGACCTAGCACCACTCATCAAACCAGGCTGTGGCGGCGACCCATAGAGAAGAACTAGAATGACTTACAACTACGTACCAGAGCTTTGGGGGGGGGGGGGGGGGGGAAAGAGGAAGATTGGTACCAGATGTTAGCTCAGGGCCAATCTTCCTCACCAAAAATCACAAAAAAGAATCTCGTTTGTCTTCTGTTAACTGTGTATTCTCCAAATTATTTGATCACATTAGAGAGTAAGCCCCCAAGGGATAGCATTTTATATTGTTTCTCTTTATAGCCCCCCTGGATCCAGCTTATTTCTGGCACTTAGAAGGTACTCAGTAAAGTACAGTTTGAACAGAATTATCATTCCAGACCTCTAAAGGGATAGCATCTACAGAGGCCTGTGACAGACTGCTCTTCTGTTCTGCTGCACTCAAAAATAGGGAAGATATAGTAAGACAGAAAGAAGAACTTTCTTGCAATTCAGGGTGATTTAGGAGAATGAGTGTGTTAGAAAAGTTAGCAAATCCCATTTCTTAGAATCCTTTACTCTCAGAACTTAGAAGCAGAGAGAAGGACAAGATGACCTTGGTGGATCCTTTTCTTAGAAAGTTCAGAAAACCCTTGCCTAGGATTCCATCCTCTCTCTCTCCCCACTTTTGAGTCTTTGGTAGAAGAAGAAAACAAACTCACTCAGACTCCCACATTAACAATTTGAAGGAACAGACTCCGTGAAAAATGGGCGTTTGCAAACCCAGGGATCTGAGAAAGGAGAAAGCAGAGAACGGAAATGGAAGCAGATCCCTTGCATCTGGGCAGAGGGGCCCAGCTGCTCAGCCCAGAGCAGAGGCCGTGAGCAGCAGCCTCTCCACCATGGGACAGCCTCTCCGGGCAGCTGTCCTGGCTCTGGCCCAGGTCTGGCTGAGCAACCTGCCAGCTGAGCTCTCAGTTCTGCAGCTTCAGAACTCATGCCCCTCCCCAGCTCATCTGTCTGTCTTACTTGTCAGTGTTATCAGGTTACATGTCTGGAGGATAATATTATTCAAAAGCAATTTTTACTCGGTTTTGCAATGGACAAGAGTTTTTTTCTAACGCATCCTCTTACCTTTTGAAGGATTTACCAAAGATCTGCTACTTAATATTTTCATTTTCCATAATAAGCCACACATAGCTACTTGAGAGTAGAGAAAAATAGTGTGTGTGCATATTGCATATTACAGATTTCTAGAGGCAGGAGAATCTTAGAAAATATTTCTCTACTTGTCAGAAGAAGAAACTGATTCCAGTGGAATTAAGTACCTATCGTACAGTGAGTATTAAAGTCGGATGGCTATTTTACTCCAAGCTCAGCGTTTTTACTAAATTCCGTAAAACCTGAGAGAGGGCACCACAGAATGACAAACCGGCCATGTGCTGAGGCGCCAAACTGCTGAATCACCCAGGCGGTAAAGCTCTAATTCATCTTCTCATTTAGTGTAAGAGTTATTATTTTTTTTTAAGGATTATATTTTTTTCCTTTTTCTCCCCAAAGCCCCCCAGTACATAGTTGTATATTCTTCGTTGTGGGTCCTTCTAGTTGTGGCATGTGGGACGCTACCTCAGCGTGGTTTGATGAGCAGTGCCAGGTCCACGCCCAGGATTCGAACCAGCGAAACACTGGGCCGCCTGCAGCGGAGCACACAAACTTAACCACTTGGCCATGGGGCCAGCCCCAAGAGTTTTTATTTTTAACCAAAGGAGAAACTGAGCAATTTCTCCTAAAAACTGTCTGAAATCCTGAACTGCATCTAGCACAAAAAGGGAAATTGGTTAAGTTTTCAGGATGCATGTGGCACATGGGATCAGAGAACTTTACAGTGTAAAACATATAGAGGCACTCAATGTTGTCAAAGGATGGAGGAGGGTAGATGCGAGAGAGGGAGAGAGAGGAGAGAGGGAAACGCTCTACAACTGAGGAGCAAGACAAGCACAGAAGAATACCCTGGACTTCCTTCTCCTGGGAATGCTATGGCCTTCATCCTTGTCTTTCAACAACTGCTCATAAAGAAAACATTTCTTTTTTAAAAAAATAAATCAAAATAGCAATATTCTTTTTTTATTAAAAAAAACTCTGGAAATTTCCTTATAAAATAGCTTCTCTAATGAGTGGAGTCCTTTGGATGGATACAGACATAGAGCCTGCTGGAAAAAATTGAAAGTGTTATGTTAAAGAGCCTTAAAGATACCTGCAATTTGTTGAGTATTTGCCATGAGTTGGGCCCTGGACTAACAACTCTACATTCCTCCATCCTGTAGCTTTGTGACCCCTCCTTTAGATGGATTATCCCCATTTTGCAGACAAGGAAGTTGAGGCCTGGAGATGTTAATTAATGTGTCCAGGACTGCAGAACCTCCTGGCACAGAGTCTGACTCCGGAGCCTACTCTCCTGACCGTGAAACTACCAGTGTCGATTAAAGTGTTGGCGTTTCAGCCAGGACCATCGTTCCTTATGCTCAACAGTCCTGTGCTTCCGAAGACATTCTGCATCTCTGATCCTCAGGCACCACATACAGGAGCAGCTTCCTGTCACTCTGAAAATTAAAATGCCCTCACAGATTTGCACACTCCCTATAGGGGTGTTGCTTCTCCTATCCCCAACACACAGAAAATAACTGTTAAGGAAAATATTGAGTTTCAGAAACTTAGGGTTAAAAAGAATTTCAAGAGTTCCACTATTTTAGTTTTCGTAGTTAATTTGTGCGAAAGAGAATAGTGATAAAGAGACCAATAGAGTGCTAGGTTTAGTTTTTTATTTGTTGACTTTGAGATAATTCTCAAAAAAACAAATATTTAGGGGCTGGCCCCGTGGCCGAGTGGTTAAGTTCGCGCGCTCCGCTGCAGGTGGCCCAGTGTTTCGTTAGTTCGAATCCTGGGCGCGGACATGGCACTGCTCATCAGACCACGCTGAGGCAGCGTCCCACATGCCACAACTAGAAGAACCCACAACGAAGAATACACAACTATGTACCGGGGGGCATTGGGGAGAAAAAGGAAAAAATAAAAAATCTTTAAAAAAAAAAAACAAATATTTAGCACTAACTATGTACTGGAAAATATGTTAGACATTTTCATACCTGTGTATGTGTGTGTGTAGTAGAGAGAGAAAGAGACAGAGAGAATTATTATTTTACGCATATGATCCTTGGAGAAAATAATGTTTAGTGAACTTGATTTGCTGAGCAGGTATTTTCCTTAGGCTTCTTTCCACCATAGGATAGCTATACTGTCGACGTCTAATGAAGTTATCCTATTGGCAATTAGAAATGGAATTCGGGAACATGGTAAAAAGAAATCCAACTGTATTTATAGCCAAAAATTAGGGGGAGAAAATGAACATGTGAAAATCAGTCATGGTTAGCACATTAGAGGTGTGCCTTGTACAATAAATATTGAGATAAATATTTGTAAATAAGTGATGCAGGGAAGGAAACCATAGGATCAGGGGAGAGGGATGGGAGACAGCTGGAAAGGTGCCACATCAAACAAAGAAGAAGTATTAGGAGATAATGGAGAAGCAAGGAGAGGGATGGTCAGCAGTGCTGGATGCTACTCAGGGCTGAGTGAGGACTGGGGAAAACCTGTAGAGTTTAGGCTTCTTGGAACTGAAAGCCAGTAAATTGAAGACATCTCCAGTGTGTGACAGATTTTTAAAAGTCCAACTTTAAAAATTCCTTGGGAGAGCCATCATTTATTTTTTTAAAAAAAGAGGAAAACCTCGTAGTGGTTTGAACTTAAAAACAAAGGTCTAAGAAATCAACACAGAAAGAAAGTTGCTTACGATACTATGCAGGATTTGAAAACAAGCTTCTGGGGAATTTACCAGAGTGTGAAAGAGTTACGGAAACAGACTCGTTTTGGCTTAGAGCCCTCTCAAGTGTGTGCCAAAGCTGTAAGAACGCTCTCTGAGATCAGTGTGAGATAATTTTTGGGAGAGAGCTTTCCCATCCTTAGACACCTTCCCTCCTAGGGACTGAAAGCTTCATTTGCAGCAGTGGGATTCTGTTCTATGGGAGGAAGACTTTCCTATCCACACATCATGAGATGGGCTGCACCTTTCCCTAAGAGGAAAAGGCCTCCCATTGTTTTGGAAAGGCCAAGGCAGCACTCAGACAGGAAGTGCTCCCTAGTGCTGAGCTCGGTGACTTCAGATACTTTGTTCTTCAGTCAGTCTCCTGAGCTAAAGCAAAGGATGTGGCTGGGGTAGGAGGCGGGGACTGCGCATATGTGTGTGTGCGTGTGTGTGTGTGTGTGTGTGTGTTTTCTCATTTCCGCTTCCCCTTTCAAGCTGGCAACAGCAGTTTAATGAGGACAGAGAGAAAGGTGCAGTATGCAATATGATACTTTCTCCCTGTCCCCACCTCAATCCCGCTCCCTGGGAAGGGCTTGGTCCAGCTTTGGTAACCGCTTTGCCTCAAACTCAGCTCTCTACCAGCAGACAGGTGAGTACCATTTCCACCTCCATTTACAGACTATAGTGATTTAGGTTGGTGCTGGCAGATAGGAGGAAACAGGTCAGAGACGGATCAGGCTGCGAGGAAAAGGGAAGAGTCGGGAGGAAATCTCCCACGTCTCTGAATTCCACCTTAAAAAATTCATCGTTGTGCCTTTCGGAACAAGGAAGTCCTTCTACTTTCTTTTCCTTCCCATTACCAGAGGGGTACTCTTTGTAGGATCATAAAACATGGGTTTCTTTGATGGCTTGAATTAATTCTTAGGAATTTTTCACCTTTCTCATCTGAGAAGTTCCTCTCCGTGTCTTGCTGTACTCATTTTTGCTGAAATTTCTATCTGATTCTAACTTTGAAACGTTCTCCAGGAGAAAAGTTTCTTAGCTTCTTTGCAGGGCCCGTTCTAGCCTCCATAACTTTGACTGTTGGGAATACCCAGCTTAAATCAATTTTGCTTTTTGCGCATATGACTGTTTCCTTCAGAAGGTGTAGAAGAAATTTGTTGAGGAGTTAAGCGACAGCAAGATATATTTGGATTAGATATCAGGGAGAATTTACACAGCTGGACAATGCCAGGCCAAACTAACTGGAAGGCTCAGGATAGATAACCACTGTCAGGGTTGGTTTTCAGTCTGTACATCTCAGAGATGGATAGATGGATATGTTGACTACTTGATGACATAATCCTGAGGAGTGGTGGTCTTTGCTTCTCCAACATCCCTTGTCTTAGTGGTAGTGAGGCTGAGCATGTCACCATCTACATGAGTTTCTGGAAGGGTAGAGGAGTGGAAAGATCCTCTGCACTGGGGTTTTCCCGTGACCCTGCTTGCTATTGAACTCACCAGTGTGTGGAGAAGAAGTGGGTCCCCGGTACAGAACAAGGAAAAGATAAAAGAGCCCCCACAGAAGTGATTGGATAAGACACAAGGGTTTGGAAGAGATGCCCAGGGAAGTACTGGTGACTGTCTACCATAAATGGCGCTGAGTAGAGAGACAAGGGGACATTGTAGACAGTATATGGCAGTGCTGAGGATAGGAGGTTGGAGGTTAGAGGTTTTCAACTTGTATGTCCAAGCTTCAGACTTAACAGTTATTGGTCTTGAGTGATTAGAACTAAAGATCTGGTGTGGTTCTTCTATAACATGAAGCATTATTAGGAAGAGGATAAGCCAGGTTTACTATTATCTCTACTGGGAATATTATCAGGGATAACAAGCTGGAGAAATAGCAGGGGGGACAGAAAGAGATCTAAGAAATGATTTCTTATTCATGGACACCCCAGGGGTTTAGAAATTCTTTACAACCATACTAAGAACACTTTCTCATGACTCCTTTGGTCTTCTGAAAGTTAGGTGGAATCGTGTGATTAAGCATTACGTGGTGGCCATAGAGACCCAAGACAGTCATTTTCAATTCAAGGTTTATGATTTGTGTTCTAATAGAGAACGGAAAGGAAGTGTGGTCCCAGCTCAGATCATGACTCTCAAAGTTCACTCTGGGCTACAGTAAGGGAGAAGGACCAGACATTTATTTCCACTTGATAACTGCCAACTGCTCTGTTCCCACCTAAAGGACAAGACAGAAGTGGGCATTCCAGTACCCACTCTGCTCTGCGCTCTTCCCACACCCAGGCCAGATGCAGGAAAGCTTAAAAACAGATTTTGAGGAGAAGAAGAGAGAGTGTAGCTATTGTGAAAGAAAAGGAGGACGAATGCAAATGAGTACATGAGGGAAAGAGCTTCATTACCAAGGAAATAGGATGAAGAACTGAAGATATGAATTCACAGAACTAACTGGATGATGGAGAAATCTGCTTATCTTCTGCCCTGTCTCTAGACTGAACTATCTGTAAACCAGTCCGAACCAGCTGATGTTCCTTATTTTTGGTGTTTTTTTTGGCCAACCACATGAAAAAAACTAGTGTCTCCCAACACTGAGAGCACAGGATTACCGTTTTCCCAATGTCCGGCTTGAATGTTTCCTGTAGCAGTTTACAAACCTTCCATAAAACTCATCCACATGGTGGAGGTGGAAGTAAGGAATAGAGGGAAGGAGAAAAAAGGGGTCTTAGGTGGTCTTCTTTCAGTATTTGTTCAGCTAAACTTGTTTGTGGGAGAGAGGGGGTGAAAAGGGAGGGAAAAAGTGTTATATTGATGAATTGACATTTTTCTTAGTATTATTTATCAGATAACAGCCTCCTTTTTCCCTCCAATAGATGGAACTGCTCCCTTACACCACAGACGTCTCGTAATGCTCAAACGCTATACTCAGGGTGATTTTTGTTCTGATGCGCTTCCAAACTGCAATAACATGGAAGAGGGTTAGCAATTAGGAAGATATTTCCTACCTATGAAGGAATGTGAGCGCATGTTGCAGGTTGGGGTATGTAGAATGGGGGCCAGTCAACCTGGTCTGAAGTGGAGTTTGTCCTCTATAAACAGAGACTGTTGGCTGTCCTGGGATTCCCCATAGCCCTTGGCAACAGTGGTGATGTGTGTCTCGGCTGTGACTGCGGATAAGATGCAGAAGGTCTTATGGGCCCCATCATGGAAACTCCATTTCCTTTTTCTCTCCTCCCACGCTTGTTCTCACTCTCAGTCCCAATTCACAGGCACCGCTTGGGGTGTAGTGCAATACGGACAGAAACGAGGAGAGGTCTGTCTGATATATGTCCCTGGGAAGAGGCCTAGAGAGCTAAGGAAAAATGTGGGGCTGAATCTTGGAAACCAAGGGTTGGGAAGGAAGGCTGTGATATGAGGAAGAAAGCACACACCTGGGCTCGGGACCTGTGAGTCTGAGTCTCGTTTATAACCATAACGTTCTATGTGACTTCACATAAGCTTCTATCTGTCTCTCTCCCTTTCAGGTTCCTCAACTACAAAATGAGTGACCAGGATTAGGTATCTCTCTGATCCCTTTGGGCATTAGGCCAGAGCGAAGGACCTATTTATTGCTTATTTTTCATCTCTGCTTAACAGCAACATCCTTCCTTCATCATCTGGATTTTACACACACACCTGCTCGCTCCTTTTCTTCCTTCTTCCCTTATTCCTAAAAATGTTCCAACTTTAGTGAATGGTTTAGACTGAGGGAAGATTAATAATAATAATAGCTGTCATTTATTAAGCACCTCCTTTATATATCAAGGACTTAATATACATTATCTGATTTTAACCCCCAATAACCCAACAAGTTTGATATGTTATCTGCCCTACACATGAAGAAACCTAGGGCTAAAGGGGATAAGTACCTTTACCAAGGACACACTTACAGTAAGTAGAAAGAACTGGGATTCCAAACAAGGCTTTCTCAATTCCAAGGCCCAGGCTCTTTCTACAGTTTTTCTTCTCAAGTGTTGACCATCCTTACTGGGCCCCTTAAAAATATCTCCATAGTGAGATATCTGTAAGCGGAGCTGATATTTGACAGGTACAAATTGGTAGGCCCACACTGGTTGTTAAAATATTAAAATATGTCCACACCTAATTATGGTAAAATTACCAAATTATGATAAATATCCATTGCTCCAAGCTCTCTGAGTGCTCACGACAACCCAGCTATCCAAGCCTTTCCCACAAGATTCCCCAGACTGACAACAAAAACAGTGCCACACCAACCATGCACTTGTAGGACCCAGCCACATGGCTGTGACTGGTGTCAACTCTGGTTGGTCTGTGCTGCTCTGTCAACAATGGTGAATGTTCAGAATGCCACAGCAATCTGAAAGTAACATGAAATTCCAGCAGACTGTCTCCTCTCAACTGGAACCTGGTTGGGCCCTTACCACTAACTTACTCTTTTATTTTTATTTTTTTTTTTTAAGATTTTATTTTTTCCTTTTTCTCCCCAAAGTCCCCCCAGTACATAGTTGTATATTCTTCGTTGTGGGTCCTTCTAGTTGTGGTATGTGGGACGCCGCCTCAGCGTGGTTTGAAGAGCAGTGTCATGTCCGCGCCCAGGATTCGAACCAACGAAACAATGGGCCGCCTGCAGCGGAGCGCGCGAACTTAACCACTCGGCCACGGGGCCAGCCCCTAACTTACTCTTTTAGCCTGAGGAAGGCAAAACTGCTTTGTAACCATCTGAGTGGAGTCAAGAAGGAAAGCGATGATAATAACCAAACAAAGCAACACTTCCTTCACTGAGATTGTCACAAAGCCAAGTCTAAATTACTTTTGGTTTAGTATAGAGGCCTCTTCTATGACTATAAAATGGAGAGTTTACATGTGGAATGGAGAATTTACTGAGATAGTTTCTCCTTTCCTTTATTCCAAATTACATTTACTGCTGACAGTTGGATGGTGATCTTAGGTTATTTTCTTATTCTATTGTTAGTGGAAAGACTACACAACTAGAGTCAGACTAACCCAAGTTTAAATCTCAGCAGTAAGATCCTAAAGACATGACCTTGAACAGGTCACATCTCTCTCCGAGCTCAGATAACAATAATCAGGTCACAGGTGATTTTAGGATTAAGTGAAGTGGTTTGTGAGAAGGTTTTATGGGTAAACATAGGTAGTCTGCACATGTCAGCTGTTATGAGCACCTATTGCTTTGACTTGCACATGTTAACGTATAGCGAATCTCTGACCACACGGAAGACAGAAACGGGAAGCACGTGATGTTCTCAGCATAGTAATAATAACATACCCACAGAGGTTTTCTCCGCTACTGAAGTTACTGCTACTAATGACTTTTGCTTTAAGATGTTCATTTCAAAGCTCTTAAATAATTCCCTAATCTTAAACCATTAGAGGTGATTTCTCTTGTCAATTTCAATCTTGTCTGCTACAATTTCTGCTTTTAATTATAACGTCCCCAGAACAAAGCAAATTCTCTCCTACTTAGTTGTAGTAGATTCCAGACACTTGACAGATTGTGGAGAAATATTTGGGGAATGAACTTGTAGAGAAATGTAGGAAAGAGGAAAGGGCAAAGTGATGGAAATGATAGCAGGGGGGAAAAATCAGGCTTGAGGTGATTCAGCAAGGAGCAGTAGAACCAGTGTGGGTTTTTTGTTGCTTTTTAGGGGAGGGGAGTGGTTAGTAGGAACATCAGAGAAAATATTTCAGCAGGCTTTAGGCTTCCATCCTCTTAGAAGATAGATTAAATACAATATTACAGTACAAGCTAGCATCAAGAAAGATAGTAGTCATATTCCAGAAGGAACAAGAACTTAGAATGGAAAACTCTGTAAAATATTTTTTCAGAGACAGAAGAATTTGACAGTTTAAGGCTTGTAAATTCAGTCAGACTTGTGTGACCCCTTGGTTATATCAACAAAGGATTCGCATGACTGTGTCCCAAGGCTTTTCTTCTTCACTGCAAGGTGTACAAAATATATATGTTAGGATTTGAGACCACTTGGAAAGTCAGGAACACCTGTCCTATGGCATATACTAGGTGAAGATAACTTCTCAGCATCAATGTGGTTCTTGCTCATCTGCAGGTGCAGCATTTGCTGAGCCCCTTCTATTGGAAGGTACTGTGCTTGTCCTGAGATGGGATTTAGGGAACACGTTACAAGAAGTAGTGGATAACATTGAGAAAGGTAGCCACTTATCTCTTATTGAATATGATACAGGGATGTGTGCTAGTGGCTAGAGGTGGGTAAGAGAAAGGTGATGACTTGAGTAGGCCTTAAAAGTGTAGATAGAATTTGTTCGGGTAGAGAGAAAGGTGGATGAAATTGTGTAAGCTAAAGCAAAGAGGGAGAAAAGTTCAAGAAGCACTAGGGGTCAGCAAGCAACGCCTGACGGAATCACTCTCCTTTGGGTCCTTCTCAGCCTCCCTCATTCAGGCTCACAACTTCCCTGGGTGAGTGAAAGCAGGAAGTCTGGAAACCACATATGTCAGTGTTAATTTGAAAGGGAATTTGCTAAATAGGAAGTCATTCCTGAAGCCACTGGACCATTTCCTATTTCTTATGGGGAAACCTACATAAACGCATTTTTTACAGGTATAATTCCTACAAATATTTCAAACTCAACTAGAATAAATTTATAAACATTGGTATTGGAGGCAAACTTTTACAACGTTGAGTCCTACCAATTCATTTTCTAGAGGATGACACTGATGCCCAAATAGAAACCCTAATTGACTTGCCAGAAGTCAATTCATTGGACAAAGTTGGAAGAAATCTCAAGTCGCCTGATTCTTCGTCATTGCTGTTTGTACTGCACCAAACTCCATTGTACACATAAGCTTTTGAACGATTTGTTTGGAGGAAATATCTCCATGCCCTTCTCTGTATTACAAGGGGCCCCAAGGCCTTCAAAGATGCCATCTTGACAGTAGCGTGCACCCCTCCTTCAACTCTTTCTAACACTCTCATTGCTGATGTTCTTCTGTGATAGTCATTTGCCACTTCCTCCAGATTTCCACAAAGAATACCCAGTTTCTTATCTCCCAGCAGCACAGCTTCCCCCTCCTGCCAATAACCAGACAATTCTATTTCTCCCTGCCTCATAATATTGCTGTGCTTATAGTGTTCCCACATAATACCCCGTGAACAGGTCGCTATAGCCCAGTGTGACAGAGATTTGGGAAAATTAACTGATTCAATTCCCTAGTCCCAAGTCCAGTTTGCCACAGTTGAGATTAGCTTAGATATATCCTGCACGTTTTATTTCAGACCATCATGGAGACCATTGTTGCTTTTTCAAGTGAAGAAATTGTTCCATTCTCACCCAAATCGCTCAGAAAATGGCTGTCATTCTCAGTGGGAAGTAGAACCCTTAACTTGTCTAGCCTATTTGTTGTGACAACTATAATAACCATTTATTGGTAAGCCTTTCTTTTGAACTTTCAAGCATTGAGGATTCTGTTTCCATAGGCATTTTCCTTTATGCATTTGCATTAAGGAAAACTTTTGTGTATCGGACAGAACAGCAAATAGGAATAGTTAAGAAAATACAACTTCTGTTCACAATTATAGGAACTCAGAGTAGAAACAAGTCATAGGATAACCCTCAAATTCATCTCTTTTCTCCAACTTCCAACCCAAAACATTTTTACATGCTTAGTAAACACATAGTTATAAGCTTATTGCTATGGTTTTGAAGCTGATCTCCCTATATGTGTCTGTGATGACTCTGTAAGGCCCTGGGTTCCTATGGGGAATAGTCAACTACTAAGCATTCATTTAGAGAATAAGAATTTATTAAGCAACTACAATGTGTTTGGTTCTGTTTTAGGTGTTAAGGACACAGCAATGAACAACTCAGACAAAAATCTCCGTCCTCATGGAGTTTATATTCCAATCAGGAGAGTAAACAATAAATTAGATTGACAAATAAAAGATAAAATATGTTAATGATAAGAACAACAAAGAAGAAAATCAAGCAGAGAAGGAACTCAGTGGCAGTGACTATTGTAGGCTGTAGAAGCCAGGCCTGGCTTCATGGAGAAAGTGGGTTGAGAGCTGGGCTTTGCAGGTAGAGTATGCCAAAGGCTGAGGGATAGGAAGAGGGAGGGGGAAGGAATATGAGAAAAGCCTAGGGTTAAAAAGGAGAGAAGCATTTTCAGGGTACAGAGGGGAAATTAACCTATAGCTGCGGGATATATTTTCAAAGATGTTGGAGGAATGTAGACTAGATTCATATCACAGAGGATGTTGAAACCCAAGTAGAGACCTCCATCTACCATCTCTATTAGTGAGATTCAGGCACTGTGCTAGGTGCGCTGGGGGTTCAGCTGTACAACGGCACATCCGGAAGCTCGTAGGACTTAAAGCATCAATTTTTAGGACTATAATGTTCTCATTAAGAAACTGAGACCAGAGAAAATGATTGAATTTTCCAAGGTTATGTCATTAGCAGGTGGCAGAGTAAAGTGTGGGAGTCAGATAACCTTTCCTTACTTCCTTCCTCCCTTCCTTCCTTCCTTCCTGCCCTCCTGCCTTTCTGCCTTCCTTTTAAATTCCCCTAATCATCAAAAACTTCTTGTGAGTTGAAGAGTCCTTGTGATGTAAGTGAGTTCCATTTGCTCGGGGAATTAAAGACAACAGGCAAATCAGCCTTTGACATTTTCTTCTCTGTGCTGACACCTACCTATTCAATAGGTTGTCCAAATAGAGCTTAAAAAGACTTGAGGCTAGTGTGCATTCATTAACTTAGGCTCTGCCCTCCCGTCTCGTCCCCACCGGCCACACTCACACCCTCTACAGTGAACGAGTAGAAGTGGGACCATTGCTCTTCACTGTCTTATCCCTCTGTCCCCTGGAGCTGCCATAAACAGCTTCATCTTCATAGCTACGCTTTTGACTGTTGGAGGAAGAGAAAATAAAAGGAAAAAAAGTAAGAAGAGTGCCAGTTTCCCGTGACTTCTGTTCTTCAAACGCTTAAAAACAAAATCATTAGTCAGGTATTCAACAATTTAGGTACTAAAATAGCTATTTTTGAAAAGAACATCCTGAACATAAAGTGTATTCCTAGGGCAATAAACTCGTTTTGGATGCCTCTACTTGCTACAGACAGAACATATCCAAAGAAAAACAATATATAATTACTGCTGTCTGATCTAAATTCTTTCACTTCAGGTCCAGCCTAAGACATCTTTTTCTCCAAGGAGAGACAGCAGTTGGCACTAGGAGAGTTTGTTAACCCCGGGCACTTGGCTCTCTGTCTACTTCCTGTGCCTCTTAGGGGAAATTAAATGATTGAATTAAGCTTGTGACATAGGGAAATCACAAAGACGGGTAGCAGGGATAACTTGTCCTTCAGCCAGAGCTGTTGTGAAGTGATAAAAAGAGGATGACTGCCTCTAGGAAAAATTTAAGAGTCTAAAAAGCCTTGATCAGAGTTTATTTACCTAGTCCTACACCTCCGGTTATTCTTCCCCTCTTTTTTCTCTCATCTGAATGTATCTTTTGGAAGAATACGTAGGTGTGGATTAGGCAGTGGTAAATGCAATATAAATGCATTGATGAACAGGGGAATTAACTCATGGCTATGGAGAAACCCAAGTTGACAAATCAGAGAATGATGATTCTGAAGGTGGTGGCTGCTAATGGCTTAAGGCGATGTCTCCTTGTTTTTAATGTGGGATTTTTTTTTTTCCAAGAGAAGTCTGATGTGGACTCTTAATTTCTAAAAGAGGAAACAAAACAAAACAAACCCAGAATGACTGTAGCTGGAGTGATGTCCTGGTTGTGGGACCTTAAAAAATCTGTTTAACCTTTGAGATCTGAGACTTCTTCAGATGTCTTTATAAGGATCAAATAAAGTAAATTTTATAAATTGCGAATTTAAAGGTATTTTAATTTCAATGGAAGATTCTGAAAGACAAAATCTTTCAGGAATAAAGAGAAATGTTTTCTAATACAGCGTTTTGGCTATCATGAGAAGTGAAAATTCTTTAAGTCAGAAGAGCTGTCTCAATGTCCCTTAAATCATATGATGTTTGAAGTTTCCAGACTTACTGATTTGAAAGACATGCCCTGGTGTTTAGATTTTTCAGAGCATTCCTTTTTCTGGAAGATGGAAGAAAGGCTAGACATCTCCTCCCTTCTCCTGAATGGGCAGAAGAGTCATGCTCCTTTTTGCAGAGGGGGGCTACCCTGGGCGTGGTGGTTTCTGAACACAGGATGAGAGAGTATCACTGTATTTCAACACTCAGGACAGCATCAGTGTGGCAGGAGGCCCTGAAGTCTGAACCAGGGCCATGGAGGGCTCTGTGCTGAGCCCCACATCCTGGGAGAAACGGCGGGCCTGGCTCCGTCAGAGCCGTCACTGGCAGACCCAGATCCTGGAAGAGGAGGCTGCAGCTGCCCTGCAGGATGTCCCAGATCCTGAGCCTTCCAGCCTGGATGATGTTTTCCAGGAAGGTAAGAGGTAGTTAGGCATTAAACAGACTTCCACGTTGTCTGTGGTGAGGAACGGGTGGCAGCAGGCACAGGTCTGCAGGGTGGGCAGTGGGTCCCTTGGTTAGACTAGGCCTTCAAGGAGGCTCATTTTGACTGGTTTAAATGAGTTTAAATGAAGAAGAGTAAAGTAATGCAAGATATGAATTATGTGAGAAACAGACAGGCGTAAGATTAGGAAAAAGAAAGAGGAAATTTTTGCATCATCCTGAGAAGCTGTCTGTAAGGACCAAGGCCAGGGTTCTCTGTGAGTGCTTTGGGGTGTTTCTATTTTGTCTGTGTAACAAGGTTACACTCAATCTGGAAGCCTGGACCCTGGCCACAACTTGGTCACTAACAAGCTGTGTGACCTTTGGCAAGTCACTCACCTCTCTAAGGCATATTTGTGTAATTGAAGAAGAAATACCTGAAATAATAGTAGTCACTTTTCTACAAGCCTCTCAGAGCTTCTCTGAGACTCAGATGAGACTATAGACACAAGGGTTAAAAAAACTAATTTTATATTAATAAACCAATTCTTACTTATTTCATAGAAAACAAAAAGCACACACAATATTGTGCCTTTTTTCTTTTTGTTTTTTCCTTCTTCTTCTTCTTTTTTTTTTTTTTTTTTTTTTTATTTTTTGAGTAGAAAGATTTACCCTTGTTCCCAAACCTTGGGGAAAAGAAAGCAACGGGCCTGACATCCTGGGCATTTTCCAGGTCCTGGGAGGAAGGGGGCAGGGAGTCAAGAGAGAGAAGAAATATCCACTATTTTTATACATTGTTATTTTCCTCTATATCTTAAAGAAAAGTTTTATGGAGGAAAAAAGGATTCATGACGTGGCTTCCATAAGGATAAACTGACGGCATGGGGTGAGTTGCAGGCGGAGTCTGATTTCCTTCAGTTCTCAGTGTTCTGATGTCTGCCTTTTCTAGGGAATCCAGTCAGCAAGATTGAGGACTGGCTGCAGGACTGTGGGTGAGTGCTTGAGAGGCAATGGGATTGGATGTGGTTGGTGGTTGGGTGTACAACAGGCACTGACTCCTGGGAACTCAGAGACAAGGAAATGGGTTCGAATTGGATCTCAGTATCAGAAGGGAGGTTGCAGTGGGGATGGGCTCGTAAGGGTTTGGGTGACTTTGGGGATGGGAACTGTGAATCAGCTGCAACTCCGGCCTGAGACCAAGTTAGGGGGAAGGTCTGGAAGTATAGGGTGGATCTTATCTAAAGCCAAGAATGATGGAAGCCTGCAGCTCAGGGGAATGGCTGGGCTGGGTCCCACATCCCTCCTCCGTCACCTTTCCCTTCAGACTGCAGTCTTACATTATGTAACAAAGGAAGAGTTAGAAACCTAATCTTCTTATGATCAGAGTAATTCATCACTATGTTGCCCATTTCTACTGCAGAACCCAGGAAGAAGGGCTAAGGGCTTACCCCAGCCATTCAAAGCATGAAGAATTGGAGCAGGTACTTCAAGGCAAAATGTAGTATCTCTTCCCTCAGAAACACTTTAAACTATAAGACCTCACACCCCATCAGCCTGTACCATTTTAGGCTCAGTCTACCCAGACGCAGAGAGAAAGATTCTGTGACCTATTTAAGTCTGATCATTTGTGTAATAATGAATTCTCAGAATTTATAACTCTTACCTCCTTCTTGTTTCCCCTCCAGGAATGTTTCAAGCTATATATAGCCTTTAATCTAATTAATATATAAATAAACCCGTCCTTGCTTATTTGGTAGGCAATAAATAGCACTGAATAATACAAGGTTGTTTATTTCAACTCTGCCCTGGAAAGTAATGCCAGGAAGGATTTAGTTTGTATTTTTGTTGTTTACAAAACATATCATCCTTATGTCCTAATCTGGTTCACAATTCATTGACTTTAAAGTCAATTAAGGTAACCAAAGTGTAAGGAAGTAAACGGATGGCGGTAAGAGGAATGTTTGCAGGTTTGTGTGGGAAGAGTCCTAGGATGTAAAATGCTTCACCTGGTACGTACAGGAGAACCGTGGGCTCAGTTAATGTCTTTACTTCATTAGCTACTCGTGGGTCGCATCAATTCACATCAACAAGTATGGACTGTGCATTTGCTAACTGTCCGATTGTCTGAACGGCCTAGAGGAGTGCCAAATAGTTTAAAATATGCCCCTTGACTTCAGATATACTGACTGAAAAGAATAAATTCACAGAAACACAATACTGTAAACTCCAGAAATCATCTTTCCCCGCTATATTCTACAAAGATAAACCCTGAACCAAAATGGGGAGTTAGTCTGGTGAGTGAAAAGGCTCCAAGATCTGAGCCTGATTGTTGTGCTCTCTGTGTAACCCAGTGTAAGCAAACAACTGAAATTCTTTCTATGGCAGACTCCTCACCTACAAAGCGAAGAACTAGAATACTCAAGTTTCAAAAGTTTCTTGTAAGATTTAAATGATATGATATATGTATGAGTGTTTTATTCTCTATAGTAGTTATGTGAGTGGTGAAGTTTATAAAGGAGGGGCTTTATGCTACTTTAAAATTTCGCAAAATAAGTCTATTTATCTAGCATCTAGAGAGATAAGGTGAAATTTACTTAAGTCAAGCAGAACACTAGCCAGGGAAGGCAGTCTCCACAAACAAAGAAAGTGTTCCAGAGAAGCACGGTTTCCTGCAGTTTTATACCTTCTTAGAACAAAGAACATACGTCAAACACGCAGGATACATATTCATCAAAGTTTCAAAGAGATATTTAGTTACAGATTAGCAGGTCAACATGACTCTGATGTCCAAGAATGAAACTTATCTTCAGGAACACTGATATTGGCGTCCTAGGAAAGGAAGTATGCATTCTTATCTTCGAAAAGTGCATTCTTATACTTTGGGATGATGTTTAATGCATTCTTTCTTGAAAATTATTTGATTGAGGTCATATTGACTCATAACATTCTGTAAATTTCAGTGTACACTGTTATATTTCAGTTTCTGTATAGAATGCGTCATTTTTACTTCAATGGTTAAGCAGATATACAATGTATGTTTGACAGGCATAAGTCAGGCTTCCTTAGTTCAGGCAAAATCAGGTTTAAACCAGAATAGCCACCCCATATACCTCAACATGTGAAAATTTCTTATTATTGTTTATCAGAAAAGTAGTTCTAAAAGTAATACATATGAACTCTAGGGTAAGTGGTTATTTCTAGGAAGGAATGGAAGTAAAATGAGACTTTAGTTATATCTTTAATATTTTATTTATTTTTTATTAACAGCTCTGAAGCAAATATGACAAAATGTTTACATTTTTTAAAATAAGGGGATAACTGCAAGGGTATCTGTCATATTTTCTTTAATTTTCTGTATGTTGAAAAAATTTCAATATTTAAAATTCCAAAAAAGTCACAAGTAAGTCTATTAACATGCTTAGATTTGTCTCTGGAAGGGGAATTATTAGGTTTATAAAATATTTCCAATTTTCTCTATTTTCTAATCCTCCCTAATACGTATGTAATATTTTGAATTGTATGGGAAAATCAGAAAAATTAAAGAATGACGATGATAGTGAGAGAACGCTTGATTTTGATAATAGACAATGAAGAAGATAGGAGGGAAATACTTTCTAAATATGACATTCTGAGCTACCGCAGTCTTTGATCCTTAGGCTGCCAAGACCACAGAGGAAAGAAGATGGACAAGGAGCCCACATTCACTGGTTATCTGTCCACCTTGTTGACAGGTGCCCAGGGAGGCACTCTTCAAATTTTCTTTCAAGACCCTATAGTTTCCATTTTCTTTCCAATGCCAAACACCCTCTGGTCACAAGAGGGTTTTGTTTCCTGACAAGCTCTCCAAGAAAGCTCACCAACTTCCTGGACAACTTGTGTCAGTGTGTCTCACTGTAATTGAATCTATAGGCAGACCATTCTGCTGCAGGTTTAGATCACGTATATCTGTACAAAGTACACCTCTCCTTTTTCTTTCTCCTCTTAAGCTCTCAGGGGATTTTTTTTATTATTATTATTGAGATTATGATAGTTTACAACCTTGTGAAGTTTCAGTTGTACATTATCATCAGTCTTTTTTTCTTTGAGGAAGATTAGCCCTGAGTTAACTACTGCCGATCTTCCTCTTTTTGCTGAGGAAGAGTGGCCCTGAGCTAACATCCATGCCCATCTTCCTCTATTTTATATGTGGGATGCTTTTGTCAAGCAGTGCCATGTCTGCACCCAGGATCTGAACTGGTGAACCCTGGTCCGCCAAGAAGCAGAACGTGCGAACTTGACCACTGCACCACCAGGCCAGCCCCTGTCAGTCATATTATAGGTGCACCACTTCACCCTTTGTGCCCAGCCCCAACCCCCCTTTCCTCTCAGGGGCTTTTTTAGGACATGAATGTGTTTCTTTTGAATCATCAGAGAGAGAGTTGGGAACCCAAAAATTGTCTGTGTGGACTTCAGCTTAAATCTCTGCAAGCGAGACCTATAGAAATTGCCAGAAGAAGCTAAGAACGTCTACATGCTTCTCACAATACAGTCTTACTCCCTCCTCTTTGTTTGTGGATTGGGTATACAGGAGGAGCAGACCTTGGCTTTTCTAGTTCAGATTTGAAATGATGCTAAGGGCCCTGTGAACACAAAGATGGAGAGAGAGGAGCAGCTGTAGATCCAGTGTCTAGTCATTGGTTTTATGTCCTAAGCAATAATGCATGACTTGCCTGGGACATGGTGATGGCCATGAAGTTTCAGATCAGCATACTTAGTGAAAAAGGCATCAGTAGGTCCAGCCCTACATCCATTCTCCTGCAGTAGAGTCCACATACACATAGAAAAGCCCACTATCAAAGGCTTACCCTGGGCTGGTCCTCATACAGAGAACATGGACATGCCTGCCAAGGCATAACTAGAGAAAAAACATAAAGGATGAACACCCAGCAAGAACTTGTATCTAATGTATAATACCAAGTTTTGCTTTGGACAAATGAGGAATTTTATCAGTGATATTTCTTAACAAAAATTTTATAGAAGTATAGCATACGTATCACTAGCATTTTTCTTTTTAATATAAATTGCAGTACAAGTCAATGGGTCGAAGTTTCGGTTATGCTGGATGAATAAGTTTTAGAGATCTGCTGTACAACATAGTGTCCGTAGCTAACAGTGCAGTATTGTGCACTTCAAAATTTGTTAAGAGGATAGATCTCATGTTAAGTGTTCTTATTTCAAAACAAACAAAAAAGACAAAGTGAAACAAGGCGCCTCTGGGAGATGTTAGATATGCCTGTTACCTTAATTGGCGATGGAATCACGGGTGTTTGGATATGTCCAAACTCATTAAATTGTACACATGAAATATGTGCAGTTCTTTGCATATCAATTATACCTCAATACAGCTGTTAAAGTAATAGTCATATAAATTATATTGAAGTATAAAATTTTTACTGAAATATAAACGCGTATTAAATATATAGCACAATGAATTTTCTCAAAAGAAATAGATCCATGAAACCTGAAGCAGAACATTACCAGCATCCAGAAGCCCCTTCTGTTCCCTTCCATTCATTAGCCTGCTCCCAAGAACCAGTACCCTGACTTGTAACATCATAGAGAAGTTTGCACTTTTCAAACTTTACATAAATAGAATCATACAATACGTACTGTTTTATCTCTGTTTCTTTGGCTCAGCATTATGTTTATGATGTTCATCCATGTTTTTCATGCAGCAATAGGTCATTATTTTTTATTGTTGTGTAGTATTAAGTTGTACATTTATCCATTTTATAATAATTAGAGATTTGGAGTCTCCCAATTCTGGGTTATTATGAATATTATTTTTTCTTTTGGTGGACATATACAGGCATTTCCACTGAGTCTCTACCTAGAGGTGGAATAGTAGATGTTTCAGTAGTAGTTATAATAATAGAGGGCTTTAGTAGTTGCGTTACTGTGTAGCTACAGCACAAGCATTAAATGCAATAGTAAATCTCAGTGTTCTAGTGGTTGACTATATTAGTCATCATAGTGTTTTTAGTAGTAATAGTAAATATTAATTTATGCTAATATTTGTAATAGTATAAATGTTATGTGTTTGTAGTATTATATTAAAGTATATATTTTTATGTAATTGTCTATTAGGAAGAAAAGTATATATTTGTAGTTCTAATTGTATTATGAGTTACTCATTCTTAATTAGCTTGAGTATCATCTCATGTTTTATAATGTACCTTGATGTAGATTTTTCATGAAGACAAAAAAATTCAGGTTTGGGAAAACATGGTTGATTTTTTCAGTATTGAAAGGAAGCTACCAAGAAAAGATGTCTACAAATGTAGTGGTTTATTTTGTAAAATTTAAACACAACTTCATCTATAGATGTTGAATTAGTAAACCCATTCCCATTATTAAAAATTTCTTTAAGTGATACTCCATTAGCCTGAGTTGTCTGGATCACTAGAGACTGATAAAGGAGAAAACTCCTTTAAGACCATCTCTAATGGACGCATCCAGTTGGTTTCCCTGGTAAACCCACTTTAACAACTCTTCTCTGCTCCAGCCTCCATTTGAGATTACATTCAAAGCATTATGTGCAACTTCCATTTTAAAAACTTTCAGGAAAGCAAACTCTATAAAACTCATGACAAATTAGTCCTTGAAGTGGACTTAGAAATTGATAACATCTAGGCATCCCAATGCCCTTACGTAATATTTGAGAATATAACAGCAGTGAGGAACCAGGACTGGAATCCAGGTGCTCTGGTTCCTGTTCAAAGCTTTTTCACAGACTACTTCACTCACCTGTTTAGACAGAGAATTTCTTCCTTGTTTGTAAAACTGAGTGTTTCTCACTACCATTTATGCTGATTTCTGTCTGTTCTTCTTATGGAGATGGTAAATGTTTGATAAGACCATATCTCAAAAAGTTAAAATAAAATCTCTAACCAAGATGCAGATTCTGCTACTTCCTGGAAGATGTGATGTTCAGCAAGAACATGGCTCAGAGAGAAGGAAGGAGGTGTGGGTGGATAACACAACCTCCTAAAAGTTTTTTAAAATTTCAGTATTTGTATTTGTTTTCTTTTGTTTTTGGTGAGGAAGATTGCCTGTGAGCTAACATCTGTTGTCAATCTTCCTCTTTTTGCTTGAGGAAGATTGTCCCTGAGCTAACATCTGCACCAATATTCCTCTGTTTTGTATGTGGGACACAGGCACAGCATGGCTTGATAAGCAGTATGTAGGTCTGCACTTGGGATCTGAACTCATGAACACTGGGCCACCAAAGCGGAGAGTACAAACTTAACCACTATGCCACCAGGCCAGCCACTCAGTATTTGTATTCGTGTTGTGAAAATTATGGCACACAAATCCCTGCTTCTATAAATGTAATTCTCCGGTTTTATTCCTATATTCTTTCTTTCCTATTTTACCTAGGATTTTACCTGGAGAACTGTTGCTAAGCTGACTTTAGACAATGGGATCAGTGCAATGGCAGCACAACCTGAAATGCAGTGAACTCCAGTCCCAGCTCCCCTCACTACCTCTATGAATTTGTCAGTCAAATAACCACTCTGTCTTAGTTTTCTTCAACATAAAAGTAATTTAAATACTACTGACTGTCACTGGAAAATTACGTGAACTTATATTTGAGGAAAAGACCCTTGGAAAATGTAATGGTTTCAACCTATAAGATTATTTTTGGTTTTTAGATACTCTGAAGAAGGATTCTTTGAGGAAGCAGGACAGTCAATCTACAATGGTGAGTATGGGCTCTGTTCTTTCTTCTCTTGCTCTTCTACCTGGAGAGGGGTATGGCTGTGCATGTGCACATGTGAGTGCATGTGTACACACACGCATATGCATGCGTAAGAATGCTGACTGTCTTTAACTGTCTGCCAAATGCCTATTAGTGGTCACAAGGCAGTCCAGGAGGTCCAAAAGATAGAGAAAGCATCGGCTGAGAGCCCACAGGCTGACTAGCACTCAAAGATTATCTTCTGTTAGTGGTTGTTCAGCTAATAATCGCTGCTGTGGGAAGAGCTCTATACAATGTGTGTTTATGTGTGTGAGTGCACCCTCTCATGTGCTCACTATTTGGCAGAGGACTGTGGACATGGCTATGTGATATAGAGGACAGGTTAATTATAGGTGAGTCTTTCTGTGATTCTTTCCAAATCAAAATATGACTGTGATTTCTGAGGTAGTGTTTGTATAGCTAGGGATAGTTTTGCAAAAATGTAGATGTCTGATGTGATTGCGTGGTTGTAGATGTTCATGTATACAGATGTTATGTGTGTGTGTGTCCAAGCCTGATTTTCGGTGACCTTTGCCTTATTGTTTGACAGGGTGCCCCAGCCATGGAACCAGCTTTGAAGATGACTTGACCCTTGGAGCAGAGGGTAAGTGGCACAGCTCTCTGAGATTGGCACCAAGGATGAGGCTATGCATTGGATGAATTAAGGGTAGAATGGAAGGAGAGAACAGCTGAAAGAAGCAGCCCATCCCTGGGGTCTCATCTGTAGGGAACAAGAAGTCTCATTATGATCTAATGTAAAACTCAGAAAAATGTCATGTGCACAGAAATACTTCCTCACCAGCCTGTCGTGATGTCTACTGGTCCATCATTGGAGCTTTCCTTTGGCCCCTGGGAAGATATATAAAATCACCATAACATTGGCTGTCCAAACATCTTTGAAACTGTTTTCTGTATAAGAAGCCCAAAGCAGCCCGAGTACTGGGTACAGGAAAGAGACTGCATTGCAGGAAGCCTAGGACTTGAATAGAGGGTAGACGTATAGCAACCTACTAGTGTCTCCTGGGGCCTGTAGAGAGTCACGTTTGAGGGACAGGACCACTGGTCTGGAGGACTGAATGACTCTATCCTCCTCAGGACAGAGAAACTGTTGCCTACACACCAGTCATGGTTCAGAAGTTCAGAGCCTCGGGGCCAGTTGTATTTGTCCCCCTTCCAGATCTGTGTTTGATAATCTTTAGACACTCCCATAAAGAGCAGAGTCCACAGGGTGCAGGTAGCCTGTAGCAGTGGTGGAGGGGAACAGAGGTGGCTGAGTTTTAAGTGATTTTAATTTTCCCTTCTAACTTTCTCTTTGCCTTTCTGTTCCATTCCCTGTCCAGCCACACTGTTGGCCACCAATGGCAAACTCTTCTCCAGGTAAGTGTGAGGTTCAGCCAGGCTGAATGATATCTCTTTCAGGAGCTACCGAACAGGGGTAGGTGTCAGAGTCAAGAGATTTAAGACAAGGAGCTGGAGATTCACAATAGAGAGTGAGATTTTCCAACTGGCAATGAGGCCATAGACTGAGTTTTTACAGTAGTTGGTTCAAAGGTACCCAGCAGGGAGTGAATACGCCCAGCAGGGCATGTCTTAGAACCAGGGTGCAGATTGCTTACAAGATTAGTATGACATGGGCTCTGATCCCTGCAGGTGTTTCCTGGAGACAGCCCGGCCCTGCCAGCTACTCGATCTTGGTTGCAGTCTGGCTTCTAGCAGCATGACTGGTGGGACCAACAAGACTAGTTCAAGGTAGGTACCAAGTTTGGCAGGGGTGTAAGGGTGGGGAAGATGAGAGGCAGAGGAGAATGGAACTGAGATCCATTGCCCATTTTTTCTGGGATTTCTTTCTGGAGCTTTTATGTAGTCACATACTTTAGAAGTATGACCTTACTTATGCTTCAAGGATGCAGAGGAATCTACTGCTCAGAGCTGTATTCTATGTGTAAAATATGTGTGAAATATAGGTGTTTCTGCCACTAAACCTTGTACCCCACGAAGTGTAGTATTGGTACCATCACTGTTCCTGGAGTTACAATAAGGACTCAATAAATAATCAATAAACATATTGGTTAGTTGATTTGTTCATTGAAGCAATAAAACATTGAGTCATCCAGGCAATTTTGTATCCCCTAATGCAGGCCAAGCAATGACCGCATGGAATTTGAAAAAGACAACCAGACAAGGAGCTCAACAATCCAATAGGATGAACAAAATATACACACAAATAACTTTAAAACAAGACGAAAAGTGATGAAAACTAGTGTGGTATAATCAAAAGTGTCTGGAAATTGGAGTCAAAGTTTGAATTTGAGACCTTGTTCTCAGATTTATTACCCATGTAACTATCTTTAGTGATTTGTAATCACTGAGCTTTAGCCCTGGCCACACCCCAGTTCAATTAAGCCAGAATCTCTAGAGATGAGACTCAGATATCCATATTTTTTAAAGCCCCTCAAGATGATTCTAATGTGAAGCCATAGTGGAGTACCAATGATCCAGTCTTATGCCCATAATTCAGGTAAGCAGACTTAGGACCATAGAGATAAAACCAGCATGTAGGAGGCAAGCACAAGAGTAGATCCAGGAATTCCAATTATCCACCTATTAATTAAACAAGATGGTACCTATTTGGATCAAAAAGCCCAGCATCCTTTCTGAGAGTGACAGTGATTATTCAAAGTCTCAAATACTAATCCACAGCCCCCCGATCCCCACTGTTGTTTGGAAGCGTAGCCACTGAGCTCTAGTGTCACCCAGCTGGGTAGTACACAGATTTGGATGCAGATACATGTTGGTACCATTCTGAGAGACAGCTTGATCTTCTGTAATGCAGAGCTTCTGTCCCGAAAATAGTGCTATCAAGGGGCTTACTTCTCAAAATCAGTTTTTGAAAATACCTATATTGATTAATTTTCACCCTCAGGGTAAGAATAAAATGAGTTTTATGTTCCTTACACACTCATTGCTTAGTTGTCCCACACAACCACTGGGGCAAGCTGGGTAGTAAACTGCAAAGCCAGCTACATCATAGTTTGTGTGAGTGGAAACTGACTGGCTAATAACACAACCACAAGATTTCTTTGCATCTATAACTGCTTTTGATTTTTCAAATCCCTCCATAGTAAACTTTCATTCATTTGGAATCCATTGTTCATTGGATTCATTCTATCTATCCATTGATAGAATTGTATTCAGTTTTTAAGCCAGAGCTGGATTGTAATTCTCATGTTTCAGACAGAGAATTTAGGTTCAGCGAAGTGAAAGCTTTTCTCAAAGCCACATGGAAGGTAGAGAAATGGCCAGAAAGATATCTAAGTTTCCTGACACTTTGATTAGATACTCTGGATTACCCCATTTACCCAAACTCCCTCTTTGCAGCATCTCTGAGATTCTGGACAAGGTGCAAGAAGATGCAGAAGATGTCCTCTTCAGTTTGGGCTTTGGCCAAGAGGACCACAAGGACACATCTAGGATTCCTTCCCGATTTTTCACCACCCCCTCTCAGGCAAAAGGCATTGATTTCCAGCTCTTCCTGAAGGCCCAGGTGCGGAGGATTGAGATGGAGGACCCTTGCCTCATGCTGGCCAGTGAGTGTTACCACAGATCTGGGTTCTACTTCTCCCCCAGCCTCCAGACATTAACAGGGATCAATGCTCCAAATCCTACTTCCTCTTGGTCAGCTTCGCTCGACCCTTTGTCTCTTATGTCTGTGTCTTCTTAGGTTGCCTTCAGTGAAGATGGAGAACTTTAACATCTGCTCCTCTCGCTTAAAGAAACAGTCTTCAAGAGACCTCATATTACTATGGCTTTCTTAGGCCTTCTCTCTTTTAGCTGAATCAAATCAGAACAACGTATTTAAATGTTATCTCCAACTTCTATTTCTCAGTTGGAATTATAGAATGTTCCCCATTTGTAGCCACTACATTAAAATCATTTCCATTTAGGGCAGTGGTTCTCAAAGTTAAATATGTTAAATTGCCCAGGGAGTTTATAAAACATTCACATTTGTAGGCTTTTCCTCCAGAGTGGAGGAGGTTCAGGAATGTCTATTTTAAACTAGCACACAGATGATTCTTATGTGTAATCCTTAGACCACATCCAGGGAAACAAGGATTTAAGTCATGCCAATTCCATTCTAAGGGAAGACGTGAGAGGGCTTCTCCACCCGGATGATTCTAGATGTTAGAACATATTTCAAATTATATTCTGCTACACCCCCAAGATGATAGTGTTTCTGACAGTTTTGTTTCAGATTCTTTGCATCAGATTCAATTTAAAAGCTTGATATAACCACACTCCTGAGCTCCACATGCTGAGACAAAGCTTTTCAGCGGGAGTATTTTCACAAGCACCTTAGATGATTCCCATGCATACTAAAGTTAGAGGATGATTTATTGAATTCCTTTTATGTGCCAGGTACATAATTAGGTGTTAAATTCAGGAAGAATCACAGCCTCACCACAGGAACATGATTCTTGCCTTTAGGAAGCTTACCGTTTAATAGATACACGGTGCTTTTCAACGACAGATGTGCATATGAATTACCAAAGGATACTGTTAAAATTCTTGAGGTACAGTCTGAGATTTTGCATTTATAACAAGTCCCCAAGCAATACCCATATTACTGGGCTAGTGACCACACTCTGGGAAGCAAGGTCTAGTAGAAATGATATAGTCCATTGAAATTTCTCTACCCTAGTCCATTGCATAGTAGTTAATAACCCTCAAATTTGTTGCTATAGAGAAGCCTTCTATAACCCTTTTGTTACTGTCTAAGAAAATAATGTTGGTTTTGCCCTTTTTTGTCATGTTTTTCATCTAAAGTAAACACAGTGATAGAGGCTATCATTTAGAATATACTGACAGCAGAAAGGATACACCAAATCAAGATATAGAAAAGTTTCTCATCCCATATAGAATTCATTTTTGGGCTAAAGGAAAATATCTATTTGGGATGGGGAGTCAAGAAGTCAAGAAGGGGATCCTACATGTCAGAAATCTAAATGGGAGAAACACTAGTGGGGAAAGTGGCAACTTTTTTCTAAATTTTGAGCTTTAGGAAGGCTATTGAGGGGAGAGATACAAGAGATAATTTGCTGATGACACCCCAGACTCACCATTTTCAACCCTTGTGCCCAGGCAGGTTCAAGCAGGTGCAAACACTGGCTGTCACTGCCGATGCCTTCTTCTGTCTCTATTCCTATGTGTCTAAGACACCTGTCCAAAAGTTCACACCATCCCACATGTTCTGGAATTGCAACCCAACTGATGTGCCATCCATCAGGATTCTGGCTCCAGAAGCTGAACCTCATTCACCCAGAGAGCGCCTCCGGAAAGCCATTTCCAAAATGTGCCTGTATACATGCCCCCGAGATCGGCTCTCACCACCCCCTAATACTCCCAAAAGGAATAGTTTGGACCAAGTGGTGTGGGAAGTGATGGACAGAGTGAGAGGAGAGAAGCTGGTCCTCCAGCAAGACCCTGGGTTTGGGCCTGGCTCACAGGAAGATCCTGTGCCCCCCATCAAGGGTACAAAGCTGCCCACTTCCTCCTGTCCATGTGTCCTCTGCCCTAAAGAGGATGGACAGCAGGGGATGTCCATAGTGCAAGCATCATCACGAACTCTGGATTTTAACCCCAAGGCACCTTGTTGCACACATTCTCTAGCCAGAGCAGATCTACAGTGGAGCACAGACTCTGCACAGGTAAAGAGAGAGCTGTGGGGTCTACAGGCCACCAATAAGGAAGCCCATTCAGCCAATGATGAGACTTTCTGGAAAAGGAAGAGCAGAGCAAGAAAGAGCCTGTTTCAGAAGAATTCCATGGGCAGGAAGGCTAAGTCTTTAGACCTGTCCGCCGTCCAGCAGAAATGGAAGCAGAGTCAAGAGAGACCAGAACTGCACCAATCTCTAACCCAGCAACTGCGGGACACTTTTGACTCAGAGGAGGTGAGTGGGTTGGAGGTGAGGGAGGGGCTGGTAGAGAAAGGTGGTAGATTCTTGCCTTGGGTAAAGGGAATCCAGGCTCCCTGTCCTCACCAGATATACCACTTCTTCAGTTACATTCAGAAACCTTTGGTAGTAGGTTAACACAGAAGGAGAAAGAGAAGCCCAGTTTCTTAAGAGGGCCCAGAACTGCTTTTCTAATTCCTCATCTGATCTGATTTCACTGAAGTTTCTCATCAAGCACACCTGCCCCTATCATTTGTGGGGTCCACACAAGAGTACAAATAGAGGCCAGTTATACATAAGCTAAACACTATTAAATGAAATATGTTCTCTTCTACCTTGACAAATGTGTACCCATAAGAACCTGGAAATCTAGGTTCAAATCTAGAATTCTCAGACTCTTAAGACTTCTGCGCTAGAACATAGCAGTGTGAGCAGAGCCACTCTCCAGCCCCTGGCCCGTCCCCTTCTCCCCCCATGCCTAGACCTGTCCTGCCTGCACCATAAGAGACTTGCACACACGTGTGTGAACACCCTAACCTGCATATCCAAATGCCACACACCCCCTACCCACACAAATAGCCATCTATTGGTCATCACTCAGGCTTGGGGGTGCAGACAGTAGTGGAGAGGTCAGCCCTTGAGAGAACTGACGCCAGGCAAAGTCAGTGCAGTTCCCTGAAGCAGGCTTGGGGCCATTCGAGCAGCACATTTGGGGATTCTTGGTAACCAAAGCATGGTCTAAAAGGGATAGTGCAGGAACCAGGTGGGTACATCCTCTAGGTCCACCAAGTCCTCATCTCATGGACCGTAAAATCCTCTTGCCTGGGCCTATAGACAGTACTGCCATCAAGTGCTGGGGTCTCTTGGAAAAGCTCTCCAATCCTTGCCACAAAGAGAAGCTGTGGTGATTTGCATTATCGTGCATGTGTGTGTGTGTGTGTGTGTGTGTGTGTGTCACTTCTCTTTGAATGTAGAGCTGCATCTCAGTTCCTGCCTTCCTCTCTACTGGCTTCCCACCACAAGAGAAGAGGCTAGGTCTCCCAAGGACAATCGGCCTCTTCCCCCTACAGCAGCCGGCCATCCCACACCTTCCCCTCACTGGCCCTGACTGAGTTCTGCTGGGATCTTGGTTACAGGTGCAAAACAACAGTGAAGAGGAGGAGAGCTGTTGGCCCAGTGGACCCAGACACCCCCACATCTACCAGACTTTTTCTGGCAAAGACTCAGGAAGTAAGTGGGTTCTCTCCATCTCTCTCTCTCTCTCTCTCTCTCTCTCTCACACACACACACACACACACCCCCCTACACACACACACACAGGCAGTGGTTCTCAAACTTAGCTGCACACTGTAATCACCTGGGAAGATTTTTTAAAATACCTACGATGAAGGATCCCACATCCTGTGATTCTGATTAATTGGTATGGCATGGAAACCGGTAGCTGATTTTTTGTTTTTAAGCTCCTCAGATGATTCTATTATGGCTGAATAAATACTTCTCTAGATCAGTGGTTCTCAGACTACAGCATCAGAGTCACCTGGAGGGCTTGTTAAAATATGGATGCCTGGGCCCCACCTCCCAGAGTTTCTGGCTGACTAGCTCTGCACGGGGCCTGAGACTCTGTAGAAGTTTTGTAACAGGTGAGGACCAGCTATGGAGATCTGTATCCCAGCACCTACCTTCAGCTTCTTTCTAATCAGCTCACATCCTGGGACTTACGGAAGACTCTTCGGTGTATCTCACAGCTATGCTCCTGTAGGCTCTGAGTTCCTCTTGGCAGCCAGGGTCTGAGGCACATGGCTCTCTTCCCCCTCTTCAAAGAAAACATGAGTCTCACATGGCAATTATTGCTATAAAGGTGAAATTTCTTTCCTCTAGAGGTGTGTTTTGAGTATTAACTCTTTTAGAGGTATCCTTTATACCTTTGAACATTTTGGCTAAAGATTTATCATTTAAACTAAGTAGAAATTAGTCTCCTGTATTTTTACCACCTATCCCCTAGGACCACAGAGAGCATGGCATCAGGGGTAATGATTTTTCCAAGACAGTAGGAACTGAAATCTTTCTTGAATTAAGTAACTGAATCCCGCTTAGAGTTCCCTCCATTTTGGATGCCTTAGTACTATTATGGCACTTCCTAGCCCGACAGCTTTTTTGGTTAATACGCCAAAATTTCAGTGTTACTTGTCCCGAATCATAAAGATCTTTAGGATTCTAACTCTTTTAATTCTAATTCTCTGTAGTTTTAGGGCCCTAATTACACTTCTTTCTCTCTTACCCATTACCTTCATCTCCAGGTACCTAGACTGTGTGTGTCCCGTTAGTCATTCACAAAAGACAGAAATATCACGTGGCAGCAATATGTTATATGTAGCTGAAAAAGTTTAGGAAATAGCCAAATGACCTACCCCATACTAGTTCAATGATCTTGCAGGAATCACATAACTTTAGTTTTGTCCTATAAAATAGGAGAATAATAATAATAATTTGTATATATATATCACATGTATATGTGGACTAGGCATTTATATAACATTTCAGCATTTTATAGGGAGTGTGTGAAGGTAATGTAACATTGAAATAACAACAATGATATTGCTGCTGCTGCTGATGATTTTAGAAAAGGTATTCATGGGCATAAAATAATTAGACCAGTGACTTTCAGTCCCGTAAGCTTTTTAAAAAGTTGCTATTTACAAGGCTCCACCCAATAGAATTAAATACAAATCTCTTGGGTTTGGACTTGGCATTATTATTTATTCTTCTTTTGAAGCTGTCCTAGTGCAACAGTTTCCTACTGCTGCATAGTAAACCAAAGCCACCCAAAATGTAGTGGCTTAAAGGAAAAATTATTATTTCTTGCCATTTTGTGGATTTATTGGGATGCTCTTCTGCTTGTCTCACCTGAGTTCACTTATGCAGTTGCTTTGGCTAGGTGGCTGGGCTGGACTAGAAGGTCAAAAACGGGCTCACCCACATGTCTGGAACCTTGGTGCTAACTGTCAGCCAGGCACTCTCTCCAGGTGGGGTGCCATTCTTCAGTGATCTAGCTCGTCTTGCTTCTATGGAAGTTCAGCAAGAACTGAAGTTGCAGTGCCTCCTTTTAAGGATACATTGCAAGTTGCACAATGTCCCCTCTATCACATGGTATTGGTCAAATCAACTCACAAGGCCAACTTAGATTCAAAGGGAAGGAAAACAGACTCTACTTTTTAATAGGAGTGGCAAAGTCACATTGTAAAAAAGCATGTGGGATGGGAGGGTTGTTGTGGCCATCTTTATGAACAGTGTGCCACAGACAATGATTCTGGTGCACCAAGAAGGTTAAGAACAACTGGTTTAATTGAGGGGCTTTATCCTCACGTATTAAAGATGCACTGAATGTGAGCTTGCATTCTAAAGCTCATGCAGTCTCAGCCACAGCATGCAACACTTGAAAAAGAAAGTAACCGCTGAACTTACCAAATTTAAATAGAAAATGTGGAGTATATGCTCCATAGCTAGGTTTGCCTGCCAAGAATTTAATTTACTCTAAAATACAAAGCTTTGCTCGAGTGTTATGTGTCCAGCAGATGTCAGCTTCTCACAAGAAAATGCCAAGATGCCCAGCAAAGCGAGTTGTGCGCAGGATCTATATGGTTATACCTTTCTGGGCAATCTGTGAAACACCCAGGACCCAGGTTCCTCTCACAAACCTGTCCCATCTTTGACTAAGTGTCAGTAAACAGAAAGATTATAATTGGATTGCCAAGGAGAAAGTATTACTAGGAGTTGTGTATTTCAAATAAGTAGCTGGATTCCATTTTCTGCCAGGGCGATGGGATTTCCTTACAGCAGGAGAGATTGTGGTCAGAAATGCTCTATTTCACTTATTCTAAGGCATTCATTTTTCCACATTTTAATAACTCTAAAATAGAATGGGTCTTACAATTGGCACTGTCAGCCAATTTAATTGTCCTCTTTTTTTTTTTTTTTTGCCTTCTTAGCAGAATATAAAATAATTATGAGTCTTACAAAAGACGCCTTATGGGATTCAATGAAACATAGTAACTTTAGAAATTACATGTACTTAGTCTCTCAGGTAAAGGAGGAAATGCATTTGTAGATTTTCCTTCTCTGATTCCCTAGCAGACTGAGAGATCTCTGCTTCACAGACGCGTCTTTGGCTGAGGCGGAGGGCCACAGCGCTTCCCGAATCTTTCCAATGTTCTCTGCGTTTGTAAGTAGCAGCAGAACACTGCCTATATAGTGCCGGAAGTTGAGAGGATGGCGCAAAAAGACTGGGCAGGGTTCTGCTTTGCTGTACACAGGGTGGCTGGGAGTCAGAATCCACTTGACAGCACTAGCAACAACAAAAATGTATCTGTTTAATCATCTTCCACAAGGCTATGAACTCTCTCTCTCCATCCACCTCTGTCCTCCTTTACGAGATCACCGGAAGGAGGAAATACCTATGAAAGCAGCTCAGTACTGCCAAGATTAAAGATTGTGTGATAAATACGGAAGGAAGAAATTCACTTGCCACCATCAAAGGCAGAGCTGAGTGGGGCAGTTCCTCAGATGTACTGAGAACCAACCCCATTCCGTCTCTTCCGGGGTCTGTAATTATCTCCTAGAGACTAATTCTCTCCCAGGCTCTCTTTATCAAGTCCCAGATGTTAATCTACTTCTTGTTATCAGGCAGAGGAGGGGTGCGAGCATGGGTGGGAAGTGGTAGCAGCACCCAGCCGGCCACTGCCCCCAGCTGTATAGCCCTCACGCTGCACAGAGACATTCACCTGAAAAGACAAAGAGGGGTGCAATCCAGCTCTACTGAGGTCCCCAACTAAAATCTCAAGGGTCTTCATCTTCTAAGAGGGATTTCTCTTTTTTTCTTCTACAGAAGATGAGTTCCTTTCTGTAATTAGCACAAGGGCATCTTTTCTGTTAAAAGAGGATCTGATCCCCAGCTATCAGCTTTCTTCCTGTCTACTCTCTCATTTAATCTCTGCCAGAGAAGAAATCTTCATCTTCCTCCAAGTTGCTGAGAAAGAATGACCCTCATCATTCCTCACAATTTGCACCACGCTCAAGAATTTCATATTCACAGCCCTTTCTATTGGTGCCCTATTACTGAAATTTAAACCATTTGGCCTTCACCACATTTATAAGAGGCAGGGCCAAGGAGAAGGTTTTTATTTTCCATGGTTGTTTGTTTATTTTACCAGGTCTGAAGTAGCACAGGCCAATATATATTCTCTTTGTGAAGTGATCATATCTGGAGGTGGGAGGTTTCATTTTATGGTCAACTCTGCTGGTGACAGTGGGAGAAGAGACAAGAGACAGGAGGGATGAGGTAGGGAGGCTGGTGCAGAAGACAGAATAAGGAAGGAAACTAGTCTGAGATAATCCCAAATGTTGGGCATGTAACTCAAAACTATCTGTTTGTACTTGGTGGCACCCATGTGAGCCAGGTAGCTACAGACTTGCTCTTTGATGTAAGATTTTCCCATCTGATAATATTAACAATAACAAATACTTATATATAGTCATCCCTCAGTATCCATGGGGGGTTGTTTTCAGGAGCCCTTGAAGATACCAAAATCCGGGGATGCTCAAGTTCCGTATATAAAATGGTATAGTATTTGCATATAACCTACATGCATCTTTGCATATACTTTAAATCATTTCTTGATTACTTAATACCTAATACAATGTAAATGCTATGTAAGTAGCTGTGATATTGTTTAGGGAATAATAACAAGGAAAAAAGTCTGTGTCTATTCAGTACAGATAGGGCCATGGTAGTCCTTTCCATCCACAGCACAGAACCTCTGGAGAGCCGACCGTATAGCGCTTACTATACGTCAGATGCTATCCTTGGCACCTTATGGGAATTATATTATTTAATCCTGTGATATATGTTTTTTTGTTGTTCCACATTTTGTAGATGATGACACTGGGCACAGTTATTTTTATACCAAAATAAATTCTGAAGAGGGACTATCAGATAGGAAGTGTAGGGAGAGATATGAAAGGGGAGAGGGGACAACATGAGAATGCGACAATTATTTTTCTGCCTCATTTACAATTCTTACCAAGGTTGTTTTGCATCTGTTAGGGAAATATAATTAAAAAGAAAACTACCACCCCAGAAAATCTCTCCAGAAAGGTATAAAAGGTAGAAAACAGTTTTATTTTTTAGAATAAGGATTAAACCAGAATATGACGTGCATCACAGACAACCCACTAAAGAGATTGCAAAGACAGAAGGAACTCTCACCCTCATATATAGCCGAGCAGATACGACCCATTACATACATGTTGTCAAAATAAACAATAACTAGTTCTCAAGGAAGAGGACTTGACAGCACCATTTGTCACACATAGTTCATCCTAGATTTGCCTTGTAACTGGGGTGACCAACTGTGTTAGCTAATTTCCTGTATCCAAATGAATAATAAAACTTCTCATATCTTTATGACAGAAAGTAGTTCTTCAAGTTGGAGCCAGGCACATAAGTTCGACTCCTACCCTCCCATGGACACTGGGAAATAGGGGCGCTATGGTCCTTGATGATTACATTTCAAAACAATGATTTCCATATCCTTGAGAAAGACATTTCTGTGTCATAAAGGTGGCAAGAGGTTTATTTAGGCTTTAAAAAAGATTTTCATACCTTTCAAAGAGACAAAGAACTTGCAAGTTTTCTAAAGAACATGATATAAGAAAGGGGAAGTGTAGGGAGAAGTTTCTTTCATGATAGGGAAAATTAAGCATCAATTTATATTTGTTGTTACACCTCTCGGTATATTCTTTTCTCTTCCTTGGCCTTCCTGTTATCTCACTGCCTCATTCTTCTCTAGAGCTGTGGAAGGCAGAAGGATAATCTCCACTGGCATTGCATATTGCCCATTTTCTAAGTTATACATTTCAAATGTTCTGATGGATTACCAAGGCTATATCCAAGGCTGTCAAGCCACACAGCTTCAGGTGTCAACATTCATGCAGACTGCAATGTAAGCATTGCTCCTAGAGATGTGCTGAGCAGAGGCCCAGGTGCGTCCACAGTACCTTACCCAGCCCTTCAGGTAGAAAGAGCCTCTAGTGATTGTAGAGCACTTTCAGAGATATCATCTCGCATAAGTCTTATTATCATATAAACTGCATGAGAAGAAAAGTGACTTAACAAGATCATGTGATTACGTAGTTAATATCAGAGTCAGAACTAGAACTCAGGTCTCCTGACTCCCAGACCAGTGTCCTTTTCATCAGAACACTCTGCCATGAATGTGCAGGAGTTCAGGCTGAAGGTGTGGACCAGAGCAAGCCTCACTACCTGTACTTGGATCTGACCTTCACGGACTGTGTGCCCAACCCTTTGAGCTAAGCACCAATACCCTCCCTACCTTTGTCACCACTGGATTTTGCTTCCTTCTCATAAAGTCACTGGCAAGAGGAATATTATACAGAGTAAGCTGGAACACTCACAGGATAGTTGGAGTTCATAGTTTAGTGAAAGACATGACAGGAAAATCAACAGTTATTTTGATTTAATTCAAGAAATGCCACAGGGATATAGAAAGATGAACTTCCCAGAGGACGACATATCCAGGTGAATCTGGACAGACGAGTAAAAGTTGAACAAGGGAAGGATAGTGAGGGGAAGTAGAAGAAGAAGCCGGACATTGATATCCTAGGGAGAGGCAAAAACACGTTCAAAGACAGAGAGAAATGAAATGTCACACTGTCTTCAGAAACTACACCTCGTGCTAATGGGAGAAAGGGGATACATGGGAGAAGATCAAAATTAAGAAAAGGAGGAGACAACCCTGTGGCATAGTGGTTTAGTTCACCTGCTCCACTTCAGCAGCCTGGGGTTCGCCAGTTCGGATACTGGGCGTGGACCTGCACACCACTTATCAAGCCATGCTGCGGCAGGCGTCCCACATATAAAGTAGAGAAAGATGGGCACAGACATTAGCTCAGAGCTAATCTTCCTCAGCAAAAAGAGGAGGATTGGCAGCGGATGTTAGCTCAGGGCTAATCTTTCTTAAAAAAAAAAATTAAGGAAAGATAAATAGATAGCAGATTTTGAAACAAAGTCTTCTATGCTATTTTAAGTGTTTTGATTTAGTCTAGGAAGATAAGGAGCCACTTAAAAATTTACAAAGGAAGTGATATAATTAGATTTATCTTTTAGAAAGATCATTCTGGCAGACGTATGGGAGATGGTTGGAACAGAGAGCCAGTGGAGTAAGGAAAATCATTTAAGACTGAGGAGAAACATGATGACCAGAAACAAGATGAGGTTACTGGGGATGGAAGGAAAGAAGGGTGGAATTTTAAGATATTTAACATGTACAATGGCTCAGCCTAAGACCAGTCAGACTTGTGTTGGGGAGGTAGGAATAAGGAAAAAAATGAAACAGAGAAATTTTGAGGTTTCTTCTTGGATGACAAAGTGAATATTAATGTCCTTTTGTTAAGAACAAAATACAGTAGAACTAACAAGTTGGAAGGCAAATGTTTTAAAGTATAATTTTCAAAAAGGCAAAATAATGACTTACGCAAATGTAAGATAAACATGTTCAAAGATTTTATTCAACTCATTAATCATGAGATACCAGTAGTGTGTTTGAACACGTCCAAAGAGTATTTAAGAAGCTAGTTATATATTGACAACCTAACAGATTGCTGAGTTAGCTGCAAAACTGGTTAATATCCAACACCATAAACTCTAATCTCTGGGATTATTGGTTACACTGGAAAGAAATTATTTGCACCTCTACCCAACATAAATTTATAAGGTAATATCTGCCCCTACAGAGTAATAAAATAGCCCCGTAAATAGGAACTCAAGATTAACACTGTACTGAAAGGGTATCTGGTAATCTTGTTTGTCTATTTCAAGTTTAGAACAATTTGATGAGTTCAGATTTGGATATAAAGTACTTCTGAAACACTAAAATGGAGAAGTCCATAAGGCAGCTGCATGTATGAATTTGAGGATAGAGTTCTTTAGAATTCAATGCTCACTTATACTGGGTGAAGGCATAAGAAATAATAATTCAGCTAGGGAAAGTATGCAGAGTCAGAATTTGGAGTGAAAAAGGAACCCCGAGAAACATTAATACTTAAGGATTGATCAAACAAAAGATGTCCCTAAAGGAGTAGCCATATTGATTAGAAAAAGAAAGTTTCAAATAGAAGCCAAGTGTTTTAAGAAGGAGAGTGTAGTCTTCAGGAACACGTCACAAAATATCCAGCAGGAAGGACTATGCAAAGATACCACTGGATTTGCAACTAGATAATGATTAGAAACCTTAGTAAGAGTATTTTTACTTGTGTGACAGGGCTTTAAAATATTAATATGAAAAGTGAATAGGAAATTATGCAAATAAAGTGGGTAAGGAGGTCAAGAGACTCTAAGGAGTGTTTTGTTTAGTTTTTTTCTAGCATGGGGAACATTTCAGCATGCGTATTTGCTGAAGGATGAATCATTGGGTGAGAGAGGCCATGGGTCAGGAAAGTAGGGAGAGCGATGATCTGAGGTCTCTGAAGAATTGGAATGAGTTGAGATCCCAAGCACTCTTGGAGGGTTTAGCCATGAGCTAAAGGTACAGATCTTTGACATTAGAGGAAAGGAAAAAGGACAGGTGTGAACACAGTTCCATTGCTCACCTGGAGAGGGAAGTCAAGAAATCTCTGCCTATTGGTCTCTCTCTTTTTCCTATTGGGTCATCACTAAGAAGTGTGAGGCAGGGAATTTGAGGAAGGTAGTAAATACCTGTGATTTCCACTATAGAGAAAGCACAACAGAAATATTTATTAGGAGAAACATGTTAACATTTAAATAGGTGAGCAATGTTAAGGCTCAGCTCAAGATACAGAACATGGATGGCAATGGCTTTGTAACTTTCTCCAGCAGTGCTCAGCAATCTATATAAAAGAATAAGGATAAAAGTTTTTTATTTTTAATTTTTTTATAAGCATAAAAAAATGAGAGGTAAACTCAGAAATCTCACTTTATGGTGAGAAGAAAAGAAAGTCTAAGTGACATGACTCTTTGATGTTGCTGCTGTTGCTAATAACTTTATTATAAACATTTCCATAGGTGGAGTGTGAAAGTTTCTACCAATACCAGTACCCAAAGTTGCCTCAAAAATGCATGATATGTTTCTTTTTAATTCCCATCACAGGCTTCCTCCGCCACCACCACAGCACATGCTCTGACAGCAGTGGCTTCACAGAAGAGCCTAATTCCCGCCTCTTCTTAAAGGAGGTTGTACAGCCTCCAGCATCCAGCTCCTGCTCCCTGGCCCTACAAACTGCTGAACTCAGCGGGAGAAAGGCAGCATGGTACACTGGAAGGAAGACCAGCCTGAGAGACTTGGAATTGACGTCTGACGCTGTTGTAAACTGCACACACAGAGAAAGACCCTAGGCATGTCCCTTCATTTCTCTGCACATTGGTTTCTCTACTATGTGGGTATTGAAACACATGATATGGACAGTGGTGAACTGGAAAAAGAGTTAATTTTCTCCCAAACTTTGTCACTGCCTAGGGCAGTTAGAGAATTTAAGTATGATCAAGTTTGAGGAACAAGGGTTGCTACTGGAATACTCTCAAAGGGCTCAAGCTAGGTGAGGAAGGAGAAATCCCACTTTCAGGCTCTGAAACCTTGGTGCAACCTGCAGGGGTACTCCCTCTGAGCCTCTACAGAGCCCTATGTGCCCCCAGTTAAATTCCAGGAAGTCCTTCCCAATACCACACTCCTGTTTGTCTTCTTGAGGCCTCATCTGAGGAGATCCACTTCGAGCCTCCCCCTTAAAAATCAGCTTCTCCCTCTATCCCAAATTTTGTATCTTCCTAGGAAAAGAGATGAGTGGAATTCAGGATCCCTCCTCTTGGCCACTGCAAAAAAGTTCACAGTATTTTCTGCTGGCAGAAAACAATACAAATAAAACTATTTTTAAACCTTGGCATTTTTAAAAGAGAATTAACAGTCATTATTTGTGTTGGATGGAAAATGTTTTGTCAACAAACAGGTCTTGGGCACCCACAGTGCTCTACCGGGCTGTATGTGGTACAGAGCATCTTAGACAAGTTCTTCCACCAAGAAAATTTTAGTAGAGTGGGAGAGAGAACACGCATACCCACACACACATTTGCAGTAATGTATTATTTGGTTGACTAACAAATCACAAGACAGCAAAGACCAGAAGAGAGGGATTTGAGGGAAAGCATAACCATGAGTGTTAAAGAAAAAAATCATACCAGATATGATGAGGAAACACAGGTTGATTTTATTCCAATTCTATGGCCAGCGATAGGAGAGAGAGCACTGAGTGTAAACCAAGTCTAATTGCATAGCCAGGTGGAAACAAAAAGACAGGGGAGTTTTCGGGGCTGGCCCCATGGCTGAGTGGTTAAGTTCGCGTGCTCTGCTGCAGGCGGCCCAGTGTTTCGTTGGTTCGAATCCTGGGCGCAGACATGGCACTGCTCATCAGAGCCACGCTGAGGCAGCGTCCCACATGCCACAACTAGAAGGACCCACGATGAAGAATATACAACTATGTACTGGGGGGCTTTGGGGAGAAAAAAGGTGAAAAAAATAAAATCTTTACAAAAGAAAAAAAAAGACAAGGAGTTTTTAAGAGCTGGAGTAGTGGGAAGCTTAGACCATCTGTGTTTGCTAATTGGCCCTCCCCAAAGGAAAAGTAAGCTCTCTGGTACCTTCATGACAGGAGGTAGTTTTACAACTGGAGCCAGGGGCCCTGCTGAAGTTAGGCTCCTAGCCTTCCTTCCACAAAAGCAAGAAGATAGGGCTGCTGTTTTCCTTGATGTTTACGTTTCAGAGAGATGGTTCTCAGGTGTAGAGAAAGACTTTCCTGGGTTGTAAAACTGGAATGAGTCTGGGAGAAGATTTATATCTCAAAGGGACAGAGAAAAGATTGACAATAACAAGCTTTCTAAAATAAATCCTCTAAGAAAACGGAGGTCAGAGCCTAGTGTCAGAAAGAAACCTGTCCAAACTTTAGTCAAGCTGAGGGGAACGTCAGGCCACCTTGGTCATGAGAGAGCACAAAAGGATCTGGGATTACTTCATCTAATGAGCCTAAGAGACTAACAGCACATTGAGGAAACGGGTTGGGGCTGCAGAACGAGGCAATCCCCACATTCAGCTTCGCCAGAAGCTACTATGAGATACAGGAATGAACAACTGAGGGCTGCCGAGGAGCGCGTCTGGCGGGGGACGGGGATAGCATGCTGGAGGTAAGATGTGGACCGGATAACCTCCTCTGTTCCCTAGCTGCTTCCTCAGGCTCTGTTCTCTCACACAGACCGCGGGAAGTACCCGGTGGACCGCACAGGCCATACCAGGGAGGGAGGAAAAGAATGCATTCTGCCTCCCCTTCCCCTCCGGGGCAGTTCCGGAAGAACTCAGACGGTGAATCAGCATCCCTTGCGGAAGGTTCTATTTTTACCCCCGGGAACAAAAGCTTCCCCAGCCCCTCTCTCGCCTAAGCTATCTCCAGCATCTACCTCGGCTCCACCTCCTCCTGAGGAAAACCAGGCTTCTCTGCCAGACGCCCTGGCCACCGACGGTCCCCAGCATGAAGGGGAGGTGGGGGTGGTGCGGGGGAGACAGAGCTCCCGGGCTGGGCGCAGCAGGACAGCCGCTTATAGCCCCCAGGCCCCCAGGCCGATCCACAGTCCCCGCCTGTCCCCGATGTGGGTGAGAGCGGCGGAGTGGAGGGCAGGTCGGGCGCTGCGTTTAGGAGAAAAGGATTCAACGCTTGGCAATCCAGGGGCTGTTCAGTAGAGCGCAGCCCTGTAGTCCCCGCAGTGCTCCCGGATCCCGGCTATGCTCTGCTTTGGAAGCGTCCCGCCCACCAGGACAGCCGAGTTGCTAAACCCCTGTGAGCCCAAAAGAAAACAGGTTAATATTTTCATTCCCACTAGGAAAACCGAGGCCGGAGAATCATAGAATCTCACAGCTTGAAATGACTAGCCCAGTTCTCTGACTGTAAGAAAAAAGGCCTAGAGGAAGGAAATGAACTTGATTAAGATCACACGCTGGCAGCCATGACGACAGCTGGGGAACCCTGGCCGTGAGTGGGGGACGTTTTTCCATTAGATTCTTTCTCTGTGCTTTCCAGGCATTCCCGCACAATCCTCTCGAGCGCCTTTCAGTGCTGACTGCTGTCTGCCACAACTACTCCCACCCACTCCCATCGCCCCCAGTGCCATCCTGGATCACCTAGAAAGCCCTGTGTAGAGAAGAGACGCCAAAGTGAGATAGGGCACCCGCAGGAAACAGGCTGGAGCTCATACTTGTGGTCCCACAGGCAAAGTGACAAGTGTCCATATACAAATTGGCTTTCCTAACTGAACTCTAAGAGGAGACTAAGGAAAGACAGGGTCCGTACAGGGAGCTGGTTCCAAGGAAAGTAATGTGGGTGGGGAAGGCTTAGGAAATGGCTTTTCCGCACTGCAGAAAGGCCCCTGGAGGCTGTTGGGTGGCAGAGGGGAGAAGGGACTGTTGGAACGGAGAGGGACCAGAGGTGCGGAGCTGATATGAGAAGGTGTAAGCTTCCAGAGTTGCTAAAATCCAAGGATTGGGTGGTTATTCCGAGTCAGCCCAGCCCCGGTATCTGGAAGTAGGTAGCTTCACAGCTCCAGAGTGCAGTGAGGACTGAACCCTGAACCTTGGGGCCCCAGACTCATGGGAACAAACATGTTTACTGGGATCTTACGCTAGCCAGCTGTGTGCTTTAGGCCCGGTGTTTACCCTCCCTAAGGTCTCAACTATAAAGATAAAATACCTGTCCTGTTTAGTCTGCTGAGTTGGAGCAAATGAACTAATGGTATAAAAGTGCTTTTAACACAGCAATGTTTATTCTAGGCAGGATTCAAATGAGATAGAAAGCCCTGACTTACAGCATCAGCATGTTAGTAAAGTGAGGAGATAAGACTAGAATCTAGTCACTCACTAACTGTGTGACCTTAGGCAAGTTACTCAGTTTTCCTGTGCCCAGATTCTTAATCAGTAAACTGTGTATAATGTCAAAGCAAAAATTACACCAGACAAAGTTAAAGAGGCAAAAAAAGACTTTATTTACGGCTGTTGCAATGGGGGAAAGTCTGAACTCAATGCTGCTGAAGCAGGGATGACAGAATTTTTAAGGGCTGGAATGAGCTAATGGAAAAGAACTGGAGGACCTGAGGACGTGGTCAGGGCCGTCTGTATTTGCTGATTGGCTTTATCCAAAGGGAAAATTGCTCTCATATCTTTATAACTGGAGAGAGTTTTGCAACTTGGAGCTAGGCGTCCTCTGATGTTAGGGTCCTAGCCTCCCTTAGAAATTGGGAGATAACAGTGGTAGTCTTCTCTGTTGATTACATTTCAAAGAGATGGCCCCCTGTCCTTGAGAAAGACGTCCCTGAGTGGTAAAACTGGCAAGAGACTGGAAGGAGATTTGCATCTCAAAAGGGCAGAGGAAGAATTTACAGTGGCAAGTTTTCTAAAGTAAATGCTATAAGAAAATGGAGGAAGGGGCCTAGAGTCAGGAAGAAAGTTTAGTTAACTTCGGTTTGCCTAAGGTTTAGTTAATTTGAAGGGAATGTTAAAGCCATCCTGTTCAATAATAATAATAATAATGTTCACTGCATAAGCTTGCAGTAAGCATTAAATGAGATATTCTATCTAAAGAGCAGAGCAGAGTGCCCTTCAGTTATTAAGCACTAAGGGAGGATTTGAAATTATTAATGCTAAAAATGATGTCTCAGATTTCTTCCATTTCTGAGATTCATTGATTCTTGAGGTCATGCTGCCTTTAATACAAGAAACCAGTATTTTCTCATGAAACAACTGGAAGTCTCAATTACCTGGGCATCAGTTGGTATTCTTAGGCAGGTTTCCAAGGTGAGCTTTCAATCTGCAGCCAGTTTCCTGCTCTTGCTCCGCGCACACTCTGCTGCCTGTTCTAACACGTGCACAGCTCCGCAGGTCTCAGGAAACATAAACTAACTTCACAGTCTTTGTAAACCAAACGAACTTAATGACATGAATCTTCTGGGGGTGGAGAAGGCTGGCATTCGGTTCTTGTTAAGACCTAATCCAAAATGACTATTGTGTTATCTGCTGATTGGCATGACCATTTCTGCTATACCCACCTCTTTGTTGGTGTGAGAATCGGAATTAATAGTATGGGGGTGGCCAGAGAAGACATCTCTGCTTGATCCATCTTTCCTCAGTCCTGTCCCCATCAGGACACATTTCCATACGGGACTATGACAGGAGACCTGAGCTTGGATGGCAAATGACTCCAATTCCAGTGAAACTGTTTTGTAGCAATCTTCTATCCTAAGAACATTTCTTTCTCAGATGTTTAGTGCATGATAAAGTTACCATTACTTAATACAGGCTTCTCCTTCCATACACGTCGCTGTGACTCAGCTTGGTCACCAATAAACAGTCATATGCAAGCAGATGATTTCTGTGCAGGAAAGCAAATAAAGAGCATGACTGCGTGTGTTAACACCCTTACGCACATTACCTCCTCACACGTCAGACTGGTTAGGGGAGAGTGACTTAGCCACAGCCATGGGGGGTCACCTCCTATTGTGTGAACTTTATCAAGCGAACTTTATCACTTACTCTCTATGGGATTCAGTTTCTTCATCTGATAAAAATGGGAATAATAATGTGAAGGCTGCTTTCATCTCAGGGTATTGTTGTTAGGATTGGATAAAAGAATAAAAGAGTGCTTTGCAAACTGTAAATCATATATATAATAAGGCATTATATTATTTCTTTTTATAAGTTACCATTTAAGGCACAACTATTCTCTTTCAATATCCTACTCCTCTCCAAATTTACCTGTAAGTTCAAATTTTATACTCTAATCAAAATCAGGGTTACTGTATCTACGTTTTTAAGAAAAATGCATTGTGCAGCATTTCTTTCTGTTGACTTT